GTTACGACACGACGAAAGTTTTTTGTTAATTAATTAACAGAAATGGATGCGAAACATTTCAACGTTTATAAGAAAAACGCAAAAGAAAGTAGCTTTCCTTTTAAAAATTTGTTTACTGTAGTCTCAGCTCTAAGAGCATTAAAAAACATTTTGAGATGTTTACCGAACTCATCACGTCACCCTGACTGGAAAAGAATAAATTTATACAAAATTCTCATGAGATCCAATGATTTAGGCATTTTATTTACAATTTTTACATATAAGTTCTCATGTTCAGCATTTGAATTCCTGTAGACTAAGGTGTGAAGAAAAAGATGTACATGAATTGGTACAGTAATAGTGGACTCAATCAAAATCAGCAATATGTTGATGTTTGTTATTTAATAATTTGCATCAACACATGCACTGTTTTATAATGTAATTTGTAGAAAATTGGAATGTAAGTGATTGGAATATAAATCAGTGACGATTCATCGAAAAACAATTGAGTTTGACCCATTCGAAAATTACATAGTTGTGAAGCAGAATGTATTCTAAGAAACTTTCGTAACCTTCACAGTTACTAATTCGAACGCATTTCTAATTACAGAGAATGTTCGCCCTTTTTCGTAATGCTTCAACTCCTTAATGGACGTCTAGGTTATGTATTCCTAACACGCATTGTGTAATCACATGAAATGATTGATGCGCTTCGTTCTCCTAAGCAAAACTGCGTATTGATGATACACTGACGTCAAAAGGTCAAAAACTGTGAACGTTTCTCTAGAATTTCATATGTTAATCATTTGTGTGCAGGTCGAATCTCTCCTTATTACAGTTTAAAAATTATTTTTTACTAATTAAATTGTGTATAATTATTTGTTACATTTATTCTAATTTCTTTTTATTCATCTATTCCTGGGAAGAATCATTTAGTATTGGGTTGACCAGTATGTTTTTGGCGATAGTTGTCTCCAGGCGTCCTGAAACGTATTATTAAGTTCCCTTAATGCAACTTTGGTTCAAATCTTAAAAGCATATGATTATTTGATAGCTAACATTTAATCGTTTTATAAGGTTGATTTAATTTAAAATATGGGCATCCAACATATTTTGCTGTTTTCTTTCAAAAAAGAAACAAACACGACGCAAACTTGTAGCAAGTTGATAGAATGACAAAGAATACGTGTGCCAGAATGGGTTCACGAAATTTCGTTCCGGTGATTTTTCGCTCCAAGATGCACCAAGCTCTGACCAGCCACAGGAGATTCACAACGACTAAGTAAAGTGTTTAATCGATAATAGTCCTCATTACACAACGCGGAAAATTCCGCAAATTCTCCAAATATCGAAATCAAATATAGAAAATTGTCTATGTCAGCCGGTTTAAAAAAAGCACGAATTTTGTGGGCAACCCAAATAATTATAGAAACCGGAATTCGCATGCATGTATTCTTCTTTGTGACTTACATATCCAAGAAATGTATAAAATAACACACAGTAACCGAACAACTTGAAGAAAAATGCTGATACAAAAAGCGAACGACAATTATTGACCATGCACCTTCAACCCTTTGTCATTTCCACCCTCGTTCTTGTCGCAATATTTGCATTGTTCCAGTGTATTTTCAAGTACACCAGATCCATCTCGTTCCCATCCCTTACCAGCGAACCGTTACGAGACGAGTCGGTGCACGAGCCCTTGTAAATCCATTTATTTATTTATTTATGTGCCACGGGAGTCCGGGGAACCGGATGGTCGTGGGGACGCGGAGGCTTATGGCGGCGTATGCATCGAACCGGGATTCCCCTGGGACTGTAGAAACGACAGAGGGAGGTGGAGAGGCACGGCAAAAGTCACGGATATTCTGCGTAGGCTGATGCCACGAGAAGTAAATTCTCCGGAGGCAAGGTGGGTTGAAACGAAAATGCTGTTGTGCCACTTAGACAGGGAAAAGAACCGCCCTTCCCCCACCCCCTTTTCTCCCCTTTTGTCTATTATGACTGTTATGCCGTGAATGTTTAACAAGGTTCCATTTCTGTGACTGCTGGATGAATCTGATGTCTTTCGAGTCGTGCTGTCTGTACCAATGATAGGTGGTAGTTGACTCTTTTACGATTATTTTTGTACGAGGGGTGTTTCTAAAGTTCTGGGAACTGTGTTATAAATTGTTTATTTTATTAATTTTCGTTTGCATTAGAATGTAATTTTTTAATATAATTTCCATTTGATTGTATGCATTTGTCCCAGCGCAAAACTGGTTTTTTCAGGCCATCTAAAAAAGAATTGTTGGGAGTCCGTTTTATCCACTGGTTTACAGTTTGTTTTACGTCATTTATGTCCTGAAATCGGACACCACATAGAGGTTTTTTCAATTTTTGAAACAGATGATAGTCGCTGGGTGTCAGATCAGGCGAATAAGGAGGTTGCGGGAGTCATTCTTAGCGTAATTCGTTTATAACTAATTTTTAAAGAAATAATGGCTTTTTGAGAATTTAGAGTATCTGCGATAGTTGCAAAATTAACACTTAAAAAACATGTCTGCCTTCGCTAAGCGGCCAAATCATTTCGATCGGCATTGACTAACATGGTTGAGAAAACCTGTCACTTGTCTGTACCTGATAGTATTAATCATTATCCTTACATTATTCAGTCAGATCTCAATTCCCAGAACTTTGGAAACACGCCTCGTATTTGATTAATAAAAATGATGAAATTTGATTTTAATCTATAATTTTTATTCTATCTTTAGACGATGGTTGCTGTTATTCGATGGCTCCTTAAAGGTAATACATATTTTGTTGTATCGAAAGAAACAAGTGTGTCTCAATGAAGGACATGTCGAAATATGTTTACGGATCTAAATTCAGGAAAACAAAGACAAATGATAATTTACTATAAAAAGCCATCTGTGTAGTGTTTACATTACTTTCAACGGAAAAATTGGAAGTAACTGATGCAGTTTCTCTCAGTAAATTTTCGTTTCATTTTCAGGTTCAAGGTCAACTGAAGGTCACCTGATTATAGGTAGTAAGGCGTATTTTTAGCGACTACAATGGAGTACCAACAAAAATATACGCTGTCACTTAAAAGACTCAAGGTCACCTTGATATTTCAGAAAATATAATGTATTAATGCATTAAATTAAGTGTTTGGATTTTCATGAGGACAGTTAAAATACAACACATATCTTCTTGAGTTTCATAAGAATTAACTAAATTCAGTGCATATTACTGAATAATGCGTGTCTGCATCACATTGGTAAAACTCATGTAAATTGTAATTATAATTAAGCGTTTTAACGCCACGAAGATCGTGATAAATAAACACGATGCAAACAGGTGCCATTATTACTTACAATAATACATTAACTACGGAAATAACTAAAGAGGAAGTAACGTAAGTTGTACCATACTATTGTCAGGATTTTAGTAGTACAATGAACGAAGAACAATACTGAAATTGAGGAACCATAACGGAATTGATGTATGATACTTCATATGCTTTTACTAGGTTCTTGATGTTTCTTGCTATTCTATATGTTGCAAGAGAACTGTAATTAGTGAATTATCCAGTTTCATGAAATTGCAGCAGAGAAGCAGAATATTCTACGAAGTGGTAGGAGATTGAACAAAAACAGAATTGCACTGCTTCTGTAGGAAGTTTTCTCTCATTATCACCAGTCATTCGGTTTTCACATTTTCCTCTGACCACTCCTTTATATTCTTGAATGTTTCATGAGACAATTCATTGTCAGATAACCTTCATAAGGCATATTTAATTTTTTAATTATACTTAGGCTAATTTCTCTCTTCAATATGTATACAAAACGTTTCTTATGCACTATATTTTATTAAAATTACTCAATTTACAGCTCTTTCATTATCGATATTGTAGTAAATTTATATTTATAATATTCTAATTTGTCATTCAGTGTTGTTTCGAGTAAAACTTATTAATAATCTTTGAAAATCGTTACTTCACGGTTTCGAATTATACATATTTTTATTGAAAATTGTATAACTTCAACAACTTCGTACTCATTTCGCAAAAATAATACTTTATGGATCTATGTCTATGTCAGGGTAAATATGTATATCATTTGAATAGTCTGTAAATTTTATCGTTTCGGGTTGCAAGTTTTAAAGCAAAAATAGTACAGAAACTTATTTTTCTTACTCTTAAATCTGTATTTACAATTTCTTAAGGGTCTTTAGTAATTTACACAGTCGCTTCTCCTTTATTAGGAGACTACAGTTTTTATACATTTTTAATATACATGATTGGTAAAAAGTCAGTAAAACAATTAATAAAATTCAGTGATGTTTTCACTTTATTTTGAACCTGACAGGCCCGTACGTGGTATACGACCACGTAGGTTTAACAAAGTAGGTAAATGAAACATTTTGTGGTGAGGTAATTATCAACTAGAATATTGGCAACATTTTAACTTTATGTTCATACATTAGTTACAATTTAAAATTAAAAAATGTTGGAGTTATACAATAAAATTTCTTCTTTATAAATCTGCCATTCCTTATCTTTTAGAATTATTTAAAAATTGTATGCTACATTGTAAGTAGTTTTATAAAGAATAATGTATACAAAGTATGAAGTTAATCTGAAGAAAAGTTTCGAAGATCTGCTGGGTGCCAGTTGATCAATTTGCTGCCAGACATGACGATAGATAATGTTGTACGACTCCGCCATTTTGTAATTTTAAATAATATTGAATATCTGAAAGTAAAGTTTAAATATTGCCTAAGATCCATTAAAAAGATGCTAATGTTCTACTCAATAATTACCTCAGAAACAAAATGGTTAATTTACCTATTTTTGTAGGCCTTCAAGGTGGTATGCCCCTTTAATATAGCGCAGAAACTGCTGAATACCAACATTCCTCAATTAATTCATAAAAATCTATGTGTGTATAAATATCCTATTGATTAGAAACAACAAAATGTGTACAGTTCAATTAGTTTAAATATTGGGAATTATATACAATTTGATTTTTACTCACCCAATTAGTCGTCTTCTGTCTACGTTCCACAATACGTTGCTGAAGCTTAGGCCCGGGCCCGGAAAGAAACGCCCTAACCAAGTTCCTAGTCTTCTCCAGATGATTCGGAGCGACTACCTCAACCTGGGCCAAGTACTTCTGCATGGTTACTTCCAAGTCCGGAACCGGAAGACTCGGCAGAATTTCTTCCTTCTGTGAACGAGAGAAAGGAGCAATAATTGGAAGGTGAATCGATTGTTATGTTAACTCGTAGGAAGGGAAATCGAGGGTATAAGGGTCGATTTATCCGCTTAAAATAATGCACGGTTGATTTACAATATTGTTTAAACATTAATTGGTGCCGGGCTGACGTCTGGTGATCACAGTCGATAAATTGTGGATAAATCTACACGCGTGTATAAGGAATGGTGAAAGTTTTGAACAAGGCAGACGTGAAAATTTTATGTGGTTTTTTGGTTGAAGGTTAGATGATTTAATAACAGCTATAGTATTTCTCTGCACGTTGTTTAATTGAACTTTGACATTTCCCAACGAGAGTCGTTAGAATTTAATTAACAGCCAGAATAACTGTGGAAGGAACGAAGTAATGAATTGTTCCATTTAAAAAATGTAGCTTCGAAATACCTTTACTTCAGTTCTCGTTTAAATTACGATTGACAATTTGTTTAAATACGCGTGGATGCTTGATTGCGAAAATTAATTGTGATTTGATAGAAGTACTATTAGTGCATTTAAATTAATTGTATCTTGCGAGAAAATACGTAACTTGTAGTAATTGAAAATATAAATACTGCAATATTATAACGAATATGTATGAGGAAACGTATTAATAACTTTTTATACTAACGCACAGCTCGTTATACATATACATTTCTCAGCTTTCTGATGTTGACCGTTTTATATTCCGGGCAAAAAAGGTACAAACAGGAACAGCTTCGAAAAAACAGTGCACATAGTTAACAAGTTTTCTTACAAGTATATTGGGTTATGCTTTTCTGCTCGTTGTTTATCATTGAACTTCTATGCAAAAATATAAAACTTAATTCCTTTTTTATTATTATATGTTTCCACTCTATTATTATAAAATATTAATTTTTCTCGTTGTACATTATCAATGTTATTTTGTTTTACATTCAAATATTCAAATTTTAGATTTCACAATTCACGTTTCTTGAAAATGGATCTCTATACAAAATTTGATTCTACACTTTTCTTTCGCTTTCGCATATATTATGTTAGACAGTAAAGACAATGATAAAATACTAATTTGTAAATTAAATATGATCTACATTGATTTTTGTGCTAGTCAATACTTACAAGAGATATGTGCTCGTCTATTTTCTGCGATTACTGAATTCTTTTTTTGATTGTTTAACTATTCTAGAAAAACAAATAATATTGTATCAAAGATATATTTTTGGATACGTCTGCAATATCAATTTAAATTGGACTATAGCAAAGTCAATTGAATGGAATTATGAAAATTGTGTAATTTATCAAATTCGCCAGATCTTTCCCCAACAGGTTTTAGTAATCTTTGGATCCCTATCTAATTTTAAGAGACAAAACATTCGCAGATCGAGAATCAGTAGTTGCTGTATTTGAAGTATTCTGACCATCTAGAACTACTCACTTTTATACAAATTGGAATATACCATTTAGTTCTTTGTTCGGAGGAAGCCATTTACAGTTACATAGAACAGGGTACACCTCGTCGAATTTAATAATCTTGAGTAATTTTATACAGGATGACCTATTTGGAGTGACACATGAAATTATCCCCTAAACTGTTTATTATAAAAAAAAAATCTTTTTTAAGCAAAGCTTACTTGGTTTTAATGGGGACGTCTTGTGGTGGTCACAAATGTTATCAACGTGGGCGTGCCTTCGAGATTTCAAGGTGATCTTTGCTTTTTTAAATGGAACTATATGTTTTTATTCAGATTGACGTGTAGTCCGTTCCATGGCAAATTCATCGACTTGTAATATGTTGATGTATCAAGGTCATTTAAAAAACACGAAGGTCACCTTGAAATCTTCAAGACTTCCACCTAGGTAAGATTTGTGATCACCACAAGATAAACCCTTGAAACTAAGTAAGTTATACTTCAAACATTTCTTTCTATAACAAATAGTTTAGGAGATAATTACGTTAGTTAAATACACTTCAAATGGGTCACGTTGTATATGTAGGTATATTACATATGACCGCTGTTCAGCTTCAGTTTAAGAGATATACATACAAGTATTTCTAGTACCATGCATTGTTCGTCTGTTTTCGTTGTTTTCCTCATTATGTACTCTTTACAATTAAGAAATTAATAAAGAAATTAAGAAATTGTGAACAGTTCAGTCATTATATAAAAAAATGTAATTATTCGATTATCAAAATCGTATTGCAGCTGAAATAAAAATTTAGTTATACACCCGTTCTTGATTACAATAGATAAAAATGGAATGTAATAAATGGACACGTTTTTCTCGAGAACTATTTAAATGATATATACATACTGGTTCATTTTAAGTATATATGAAGGCACGGAACGGTTGTTGTATGGTGTGGGAATAGCTGATTAAAAGTAAAAAGCTTCAAGATTGCCCCATATACATATAATTAACTCAAAAATGAAAAAAAAACTTTAACTGCGTTTTTCTCCAAACTTGATGTTTTTTCCACGGGCGCCACGATAAAAACTTTAATGATAGATTATTACCTATGGAGATTAACTTTACATCATTAATTTCTTTTTTATGGAGAAATTTATGCATAAAAATGTCCGTTTTCTTGCAACATTCTGTTGAAACACATGCCAAACATCGCCGGATTGTTCTTTTGGATTAAGGATAGGTGAGGCGATAGCCATTAATATATATTTTAAGAATATTGTTCGTTTCGTGACTTAAGACAATTTTATCGTGAGTTCTGATGGTGTCCGTCAAGACTTACAATTTCTACAGGAGTACAATGAGTGCTATTTTAAAAATTTAAATAATAATTTTTTTTCATTCTTCAAATATGTAATAATAAGGATAAAGACGGTTTTTGTACCGTATGTTGTTCTATTGTTTTTATGTAAATTCATGAAAATCACGTAGTTTTGGAGCGTTTTGACCGGAGGGTACCCTTGATGTTATCGGGATCGTTGGATGAATGAATATAGACTATTGTCTCGTGTATGAACTGTATTTCAAGCTGACTGTATGAGATCGCACTAGCTTGGTAAAGTGGACTTTTTCCACTAGTTGGTTGCAGAATGGTTTCTTGTTGTCCGCTCGGATCTATCTGAATTTTGTGTGTCTTTCTAATTGGTTGATCGGTGTGACAGAATGGTGGATGTATTTGTACACGACTGGTGTTTTGTGTTTTTACGGGTGTGGCAAAATTGCTGGTAATTGTGGAAAGGGGAACGATGTTCTGAGGTTCCTCTTCTCGAAGTAGGCCTGAAATTCTTGGAAATCATCTGCAGTGTAAAAGCGTAAATGCATAAAAATGCGCGAGTGTCTGCTGTCCAAGAACCTCAGGTTATAGTCATCGTCGGCCGCTAACGGAAACTCGGGGACCGCGGATCTGTTTTCGCTCGCTGGTAAACTTCATCTGTGACAAATGGTTGTTTTTCTATAAGACTCACGTTGACCGTACGCACGTTGCGACATACTGCGACATTTCAAGTTTTGACAAATCCAATTTTTGCGTAGCACAATTTCTTATAAAGTTCAAGGAATGTTTAGCAATTTTGTGGTTACACTTACGTGGGACACCCGATAGAATATCCAATGTTCAAAATGTTTATTTTAGAATATTCAATTTACATACTGAATCGCCTCATTGTTGGTTGCACCAGTGATGGGCAACATCGACTAAATTAAACTATCGACTAATGATTATTTAGTCGCATGAAATTTTGTCATTTTTAGTCGACTGAAAGTTTGCTTTACAGGTTATGTATAGATTATGTCATCAACTTTTCAGCACCATTGGTGTATTTACCTTTTGGAAATGTATTAGTTCATAGATAGAATTTCAAAAATATAAGTGGTAAACAGGTTTTTTTAAACAATTACTAATATTCGATTTTTTGTAAGCTATTTAATATTGGCACTTAAAAAATTAACTGCTCTAAATTTTTTATGAAAATCAATTAGGTTATAAGCAATAATTTGCACAGTTCTTGGTGATGCATAAAAAAATATATGGAAAAATTACAATTCGTTTGCATCGCAAAGAAAATAATCAAGATCCAGTCAATAGCGATCAATAGCTCGATAGTTCGAGCGAGTCGCTTGAAGCGACTAATATTAGTCGACTGAAAGTAGTCGCTTCAAGCGATTAATATTAGTCGCCTGAAAGTAATCGCTTCACGCGACTAATATTAGTTGCCTTAAAGTAGTCGCTTCAAGCGACTAATATTATTCGTCTGAAGTTAGTCGCTTCAAGCGACTAAAGTAGTCAACGATTGAAAAAATTAGTCGACTGAGAGTAGTCGTTGGTTACTATCGACTTAGTCGATAGTTTTTAGTCGATGGTTGCCCATCACTACTATAATGGACCCGACTCTGTACAGTAATCCAAATATCCGTATTACGGATTTATGGTACAGTCTAATGGAAGAAGAAGGTGAATATAAAGTACTTAGCATGGAGTTTAACGAGTCCGTGGGTACATACATACGTTTGAACACGGCATTCGTTGGCCTTTACGATGTCACGGTGATTGTAAAATAAAGAATCAATTGAGAAACGAAGCGTGTCTGTGGGAGCAAGAGCCCTTAAGGCCAGCACGCTTCGTTGATCAGAATCCCCTTTCTAACAAGACCAGTTCTGTGAACACGACCCTTCCTCCTTCGTTCGAATGTTTCCGGCAAGTGGAACTGGGAACGAAATAGAGAGAGACGGCGAAAATAGGGAGAGATTCGTAACGGTCTTTTCTCTCTTTTCGTCATGCCAGTTCGTATATTTAGTTTCATTAACTGCGTGGTCTTGCTTATACTCGAGGACGATAAACAACGTCACGGAATCAACGTACGCCGAGCGGAAAACGTATTAGCAGGGTGATTGTGTTTTATATGACAATGGATAATTATAGAACGCCTAAGATAGTAGAATCTACGTCGTTAAAGAAATGTTAATTCACTAAATTCTTGGTTGGAAGGTTTTTCTAATTTTTTTTTTGTGAATGTTGGAGACTTGAAGAA